TATTATTTGAGAAAAATATCCAAAGAACTGTTTAAATACAAAGGGATTTGTGGAGATCATAGAATTCTCATAGTTTTTGAATCATGAACTGATCTTAGCTAGACCACCATTAAAAACTTGGAAGCAGTCGACAGGCCTATAGTCCAAGTGCGGAAATCCTCAGCAATAAGTATACATGACCCCTCGCCCCGGGATCGAACTTCGCACATGAACCCTCAACCGCTATACTACCAAGCTGGCATCCAGTGGTGTACATATCTAACTTAATTTAAAATACTGAACAACCTACATCCGTTGTCTGTGGTAAATAACTATCTTCCTCTCGAAATGGTTTAACCTCACTAGTTACTAGGATCTCCAGGAGTTTCGTCTTGAAGCTAGCAATAGCTGAAGGTTGGGCAGTATCTTTAAATAATGGAATTTAGGTCAAAATAACTACTTAATTCTTCCAAGTCTTCAGAAGTGGTCTAGCTAAGATCAGTTCGTGATTTAAACGACGGAAATTTCATTAATAATTATGTTTGGATAAACATATCAACCTATTCGAAGAAAATGAAATTTAAAGTAATATAAATCATTAATTAGTGATTTTATATGTGAAACAGAAACTTCATAAATAAAAAATTGAACTTTCAAATACCAGGGTTGCGAATTTCTGTATGAACAGTAAGAACATATCAACAACTCACACAAAAACATAAAGAGTGGCCGGTGTATGAGAGTGGTATAAGAGCTGTCATACTCGCGTAATCGGTTAGCGATCACTGTCAATAAGTAGGACATAAAACGCCCACATTTAAAATGTAGACTAATGCCGTCAGACTGATATGAAGGTTTTTTACATCCATTATTTCTAAAACGCCATTGGAAATAGTCCACACATTCGTGTATTTGAATAATTAGATATGTATCGGTTGTGACTAATTTACGTACAATGAAAAGCGAAGTGGTTCAAGCCTAAGTGGTCTACTCTTGAAGCTATTGTGATGTTAATATAGTCACAAAAAGTTCCCTATAAAACATTTTGATGGAGCTAGTTTTGTTTTATACTTGTGAAATATATAACTTCTAACCACAGATGCTCGAAGAATCTCTACATTCAATCGAAGTTATTTACAAAGGATTGTTTTTCCATGACAACATTGTAAATTATTCCGAGTTCCAGCACAACATAATGATACATATTTATCAAAAAGTATGCTTGTTTTCTATTCAGTTCAAATGATTTTTCAGAAATAAGAAACAGAGATGATTTTGAATAAAACAAGCAACAATTATAAGACCCATTGTTTACTAATTCAAACAACATAACTGAATAGGTCTTTTTTTAGAAAAAAACAAAACACTTTTCTGTGAAACAATTCTCTTAATTAGTAGTTCCAAAACGTAGTAAAAACATTAAATAAGGAGTAAATATAATTAACTTGACAGGAAATACTTTATTAAATCGATCACAATCGGTCAAGACACACAAGTTGGTAATTAAATAAACAAATTAATTTTAGTAATCGAAAATACTGTACTGACAAATATCAACTAGCACGAAACCCATGTCTAGACCTTCCTGTTGATTGACTGAGAAGTTACTGATGCAGTGTATATAACATCTTTATAGATGACCAATGGGGAGAAATCGAAACCGATCAATAAATAGATTGTACCTGATATAACTCAAGTCTATCAGTGATATAAATCTGAAAATCAATTTTGCCGAAACTCGCACTAAGATTACAAACCCTCTCTCATGATCTGTACGGAAATATTATATGAACAAGTATAAAATTACATTCTCTAATAATAAAACCTAGTGTACGTGTCATATAGAAAGAAGCTTCACAACTCAAATGTAACAAACAAACTAAAGTTGATCTTCAAATATGACTGATATGCAGGACATCAACTAGACTGTCATAGCCTGGTGAGAAGTTGTTCTAATTTATTAGCTAATTATCAATCTAGTAACTGTAAATAAACTCTACGTGATGGTCAAACATACATCGATAAACTGTATACTAGTGACCTAATAAGATAGTTCATATTGTTTTTGCACCCAGTTTTTATTTATATCAGTGTAGTTAATGTCGTACATATATTGCTTTCAATGACTTGATCAGACACGTGTAGTTGTGGTTGTGATAATTCACCGATTTCGAACACCACATAACTCATAAGTTTCTCCAAAGATTATCTAAACACGATATTGTAATTATTACAACACTTCCAGTGATTGATAAATAGCGGATTCGATTACAGTGATATCTATTAAGCGGTTTGCCGTATGTACCACAAGAGTTCAAAAGAACTGGCTAAAGCTAATTTATTATAATCAAACCAAACACGTTATAAATGCAATTCGAGTATATAGGAAGGTACTTAATCAATAGGTGAATACGTTTTATCATTTATGAAAAATCATTAGCCTGTTATGAAATCAAACCAAAACAAGAATTTAGTGTAATTATGAGAAAAACCAATGTTATGATAGATGAGTACCTAATAGACTGAACACAAAATGCAAAACTGGTGAACTCCAATCGCTTAGTCGTAATTAATGTAGAATGTGACACAAATTTACACTAGCCTAAGTCGTCATACTATATTATTAAAACAAAATAAAACTATCAAGTTTATTGGCAAAGGAGTGAGATAGTTAAAGCAGCAATGATAGTGAGAAAAACTAAATATTGAAAGGATGTTTCATTAAAACGGAATCAGACATTTTGTATTAAGGAATACTGAAAGTATAGATTTTAGAGAAGATAATGGATGAGTGTGTTTGTACCGATGTGATTAACTGAGAGGTATCAAATCCAATGCGTTCAACTGGTGGTCAGAATTTCCAAGCGGTAGGTAGTCTGAATTGACCAACATGGCTCAGACCAGCAAAAAGACTCCAATTAATTATTTGAAATATCAGGTCAATTTCCTGGATTTTAATTCAATAATCCATATGTGACAAAACACACACAAACATATTTACTGTCTTTTTTTAAATGAAAAACTAAGTTGGAATAAAAGAGATAATAATAGCTAATTAGATAATTTTTGACTAGATTTAAGCCAAGTTTCTATTGTACTGAACGAGAACATATGTGGGGAAAACAAAATGTGCTTCAATACAACACTACTGAATACTTTGGTGAAATCTGAGAACCATACAGTAATACTTCACTTGAAAAATATGCATCACATGTCTAAGACTTTGTTATTCCTTCATTTCCATATCAAACACTCTCTGTTCTTGTCCTTTTCTCTTTAATTTTCTCAACTTTCTACCGTCAGGCATTCCATTTCCGACTGGTGATACACACTACTTATATCTGTCGACATCAGTCGCACACGCCACACTAACAAATCAGACCCAAACTTTGATTTAACGCATGAAAAGAAAATTAATAGACAAAAATTTATACATAATCCATCTTTTTCAAGCAAGACATGCATCAATCAAATGCTTTTACTGCGAAGTCTAGGTCAATATACCAAAAACAATTGATAAATGAATTAGTTTCATTTAGTTAATAATATCAAAAGTTTACAAGTAAAATACATTTAACCTGATTAAAATGAGCCGATGATTCTGTGTTTATTTTGTTCAATAGTACAAATATTTTGTGAATAACATATAGATATAGTCAGTATTATAGTGATTTAGTATATACAATAACTAAACTATTGCATAACTAATTAAAACAAAAGATTAGAACAAGATCATGTAAATAGATTGTTTGCAATATGTAGATGATACTAAATAAATTGACACAAATACAAATGTATTTTTAAAAAAAGAATTTTTTCTTTTGTGAGATGATTGGTTAAGAAATGCTATTCATTTCCAAAAGATGAGATCTACACCATTGGTGGATTAATTTTCTAATGGATATATAATCATGTGCATTTGTTGTTTGATCGATTTCTGGTTGACCGAGTGTATCAACTTTTCTTCCTAAAAAGTAGATGTGACTTCTCAGATTCAGTAGAAGGCGTTGAGATGGTGGCACATCACTTTTTTCGATACATATGTTAAATTATTTGTTTGTGCATAATATTTGGTGTTTCATTCCCAACAAATATTTCTCTTGATAGTTTGATTCATGAACTGATGTTTATGTTGTTGCTTTAAGGTCATTGTCATTGTTATTTATTGTGGATACGCAAACCAGGCTGTATTGCCTACATCACTTTACTCGTGATATTCTCCCATGCTGTATGTTTTTATTTTGAATGTACCACTTGTATTAACGGCTCGAGGTCACATCATGTTACCACTCATTTCTTAAAACCACGCTCCAAAATACGTAACGGTTCTTTAGGTGTTAGAACCATGTGCTAAATCGGGCAACAAGCTTCACTGTCTAAGATTCTAAACTCACATGCCTCTGGAATACATGTTGTTGGAAAGTCACATTTCAGACCCACCTATGCTTATTCATTTGATGCCAGCTAGTCCAATATCAAGATCCTGTGAGACTCATTATTGAGATCTAACAACAACTTCCTGTAGGCTTACTGGCATAGATATAGATCTAACCTCAAAGCCGAAACAAGGAATCCCGAGTTCGATTCCATTGGACAGTTGCTTCAATACATTCTGGCGGAAAGATTAGTAGCATATCTGAAGGGAAGGGCAGGATGCTATTCATTCTTTGCCTCCAAATGCTCTATTACGGCTGAGAGTGGGGAGAGTCAAATATCCCTCTCTAAATGCTCTCACATGGCCACGCGTATATATTCTCTTCTAGGGAAGTCCTACCTACTGCCTTCTCGTGGCGGGGGTGTTGTTTACGAAAATGGGAGGACGAAAAGCGAATGTCTGACGCTTTAACCGGGTTGGTGGACACGTAACGGCTGCTGGCCTTACTATTATTGTGCCGCGCGTATGTATTTGGTGCCCCTTTGTACCAATGTTTATGTGTTCAAATAGAAAAATAAAATAAATTTTAAATAGATTGGTTGGAATAGTGTATTCGTAATATAAAGCACATAATTAATAAACTTACCCTTGGGAAAAAGGTTTTTCAAACATAATAAATGATACGGCGATTGAAACAGCTTTCCTAAATGTTGTAACTTAAAAAATTAATAAAACAGGAATTCGTTGAGTTAACAAAAATGGCTAAATATGAAATACCTAAATAATGTATTAACTCTTTCAACATACAGAGGAAATGCATATAAAACATAGAGGTAAATTAGTAAACACTTTCAAGAATTTAAAGAGAATTTTTCACCGCAAACCAACACCAGCTGAAGAACCAGTAAAAAAACAAAGAGCACTGAACTACTATTTTACTTTTGTTCAAGTAACGGTTTATCTTTGTTTATTTACAACCACCACGTATGAGATCGGAATCAGAACAGTCAGAGCTTATTAGATGTATCTAACATTTTAGGGATAACACAAATGTTATAAACGTCAATTCCCTAATGAACGATCATGAAGTGATGGTTAGTCAGAACAATATTAAGCAATTCGAACATCAATCGAATAGTTTGTTTCAGGCCTGTATTACAAAACTATTTATTTTCAGTGAAATTTTCATTTAATACTAACTTTGCAAAAAATTGATACCTTATCATTATCATGAAGGTGAAGACTACTAATCATAATTTATGCTATATTATTGTTCCACAAAGAAAATACTGGTTTTCGAAAGCTGTTTTCTATAGATCGTCCATCAGTCCAAATCTTTAATTATGTTGTAACTGCCAATTTCTTATTGAACTCATGCTCTTGTTTACAAGACTGGTGACTTATAGTATTTGAACCGATAAAAATGCTATGACGTACGATAATCCATTTGGCGTGAAGCATACTCTTTACACTATACAAATCTTTGCGACAAATGTTCTGTCTAAACATTTTATGAATCACGTCTTTGAAATAATGTACCATGTTGTCTGAGGAAGTGGCTTACACTGAGTCACGAAACTCCAGAAAGTTTTTTTTCTTCTCATTGGGATATTACAAATATATTAATTTATTTATAACAATCTACCCAATGCTCAGTTTATTCGAAATTATCACGTCAAACCTTGATAATGACACCCACAAATGTACCATAATATTTTTACACATTACATTCCTTTTGTATTACCTAATCTTGGTTGTAAATTTATTTGTATTTTAATTACTTCAGGAATATTTGTTTATTTATTTATTCAAATAACAGTTATGTCCATTTATACAAGTACGTGACTCAGTAATATCATTCAAATCCCACTGAGATATTTTTTAACTGGTACTGATTAGACATAACAGAAAGTATACTTGGATAATGAAATTACGAAACGAAAAGTTGATCAATCTAAAAGACGTTGATATTTTTTTAAAAAAACCAGTGTTGATGTGGTCAGATAATCTTATGAAAGCCTTCATCTTCGTAAAAACGATGGATTCTGTGATTGGAACTATCAATATTCAATGATTTGGGTCTAAATCCCTTTGTGTCTACTTTATTTATTTATTTTAACACATAGATATTAGTACAAGGAGGCACCAAATACATATGCGCCACACAAGTCACTTGATTTGTGAGAGTGCTGTGATATTACCCGGGTGCCCAAACCAAATCAGGTGCTTTTCTTGGGGAGCGACACCCCGAGCCTTTGACTCAGGTCTGATCCACAAGGCAGTGGAGCATCGTAAGTAGATGCAGTCTCATGGTAGCCGGTGACCAACAATAGGTTCATACGCCATTTTTCCCTTCAGGATACTGGAGCCCATGTACACCATTGGTTTCAAATCAGGGTTTTCCAACTCCCCTAGGTGGACTCTACGTGTCCACCAACCCGGTTAAAGCGTCAGACATTCGCTTTTCGTCCTCCCATTTTCGTAAACAACACCCCCGCCACGAGAAGGCAGTAGGTAGGACTTCCCTAGAAGAGAATATATACGCGTGGCCATGTGAGAGCATTTAGAGAGGGATATTTGACTCTCCCCACTCTCAGCCGTACCAGGGCATTTGGGTGCTGTGTCTACTTTAGTTATGGTTAAGGAAATTATTTGCTCTTACATAAAAAATTTAGTTTGAAACTAAGTTTATGAACATGTACTTGACTAGTGAGTAACATCCGTAAAATATTCTTTTTGTAAAGAGCACAGCTAACACATGTTTGCTTACAGTCAGTCAGAATCAGTGTAGAACCTAGCGTACATGTACACCAGTTCAATTTGTTATACAATATCAACACAGTGACATAATAATATTATTACAGATTCCAGAGCAATTGAAGTACTAACAGTATCAGTGACAGTGCAAGGCTTTAGAGATAGAAAATATAATTCGAGAAAGGAATGAATTCTCGAGACAAAAAGTACAAAATAACTTTAAAACTCAAGATCTAAGAAAAGACAAAGCATGAATGAATCAATGCCAGTATGACTGGTTCCGAGCAATTTCACTCAACCTCTTCAATCAATGGCTAAAACAATAGCGTGGACCTCAACCACTTAATTGGAGTATATCAATATGGCTCAGACCGACAATCAATGACTTCATGGACTAATGTCACGTATCGGTTTTGTCACTCCCAGTTTTCTTCCAATAATGCCAAACATCGGCAGAGGTTGGATATACGTAATGCTTATCTCTATTCACTCAGTCTATGGAGATTCACTGACCCATCAACTGGTTTACCATCCTCACCTAGTATACTGTGTCTTTCCTCAACATGGCTTACTTAGTAGTGTTACCAAGCACAGGTAGTGATTCGAAGGCATCTATAACTAAACAGCAGTCACCTACGGATATTCTTTATTTTTAAGGACAACGTTTCACACCTATAAAGAAGAACGGGACAAACTACAGTGTATTATGCTCGTTCTTTAGTTGACAGATGAGCATATCATCTACGTTAGAACTGAAGCAAGTATGTGAAAGCTAACAGAGCTTTTTAAATCATGCAAAAAATCAGACAGATATCAACCCAGAAAACCTGATGATACTTTCAAGATAAGGGAAGTGATGGACAACTTAATAAATATCTACTTACTATTCCGAAAATTAATTAAAGTACACACCAATAAAGTTATGTACAAAGTGAAACCTGATACAATGTAATAGCATAAATGCCACTGGTTGAAGTCGATGAGTCTTCACAGACTATAATTGACAACTATAAGTAAAACAGCTCAAAAATGACCTCAGTTGAGCAATTAATTTCACTCCCTAATCTCCTTTAAATTTTGATTGAGGAACCATTTCGCACCCTAATTCTTCTATGTTACTAATTTCTTTAAAACTATAGTTCTTATATTTTAACTTTCAAGTAGCATAATACCTCAACAAATATATTGTAATATTACAAAATTTTTATATTTCAAGAGAATAATCAATTTATTTTTGAAGACAAATTGAAGGGAACAAAGTATGTAATAGTGTCCTGGTACGGCCGAGAGTGGGGAGAGTCAAATATCCCACTCAAAATGCTCTCGAATGACCACGAGTATACAACCACTGTCAGGGAAGTCTTACTCACTACCTTCTCGCAGAGAGGGTGTTGTTCACCCAAGTGAGAGGATGGAAACCAAATGTCTGGTGTTCTTACCGGGTCGATGAATACGGAGATTCCACCTAGAGAATATTAAAAATCCTGATTCCAAACCAATAGTGTACATGGGCTTCAGGATCCTAAGGAAACAAATGACATATGAACTTATTGTTAGTCACCGGCAACCATGAGACTGAATCTCCTGACGTTGCTCCACTGCCCTGAAGACCAGACCTTTAGATCGAAAGCCGCGGGTGTATCCCCCTAAGAAAACTACCCGCTTCAGTTTGGGCACCCGGGCAGAATCCCAGCCTTCACACAAAATCAAGTGACTTGGGTGACGCATATGTATTTGGTGCCACCTTTGTACTATTGTTTATGTGTTCAAATAAATAAATAAATAATTCTAAGAATTATATATCTGAAATTATTGGGGGGAAAATGACAAAATTTCAAAATAGGTACTACTGAATAATAAATAAATAAAACCGTTTTTTTCTCTAAAAAACAAAATAATAATAACCGTAAACACACATATGCAACTAATATAATCAGTGGAACTATTAAATTTTCTTTTACCTGTAACAGCAGTTAATGGTCCATGTGAATGAACTAAACACAGTACAAATTGTACACCGAAATAACCGGACAATGAAAACATAAAACCATAACCATAAGTTTGTAAAGCATGCTAATTAAACAAAACAAAAAAAGATCGTATTGAAAAAAGAATAAGTAATATTTCATGGAGGATTTAACATGTAATAATAATAATAATAATAATAATAACCTGTTATACAATTCAATGTTAAAAATACATTAGTTTTAATTCCAATGTTATATGGATATAAAATTATGATCAAAGATGTATAGTGGCTAGCAGTGGAATCCAGGAAGCGCATTTCGTCCTACTTGGGACTCGTCAGCTGGATGTACCTGTATCTGAGTTGATGTTCACTCTGGGACTCGAGCCCAGTACCGTTCTCTTCAAATGCCATCGCGTTATCCACTTAGCTACTGAGTCCTAATAGTCACTTGCTTGTGCAATGGGGTGAAAGTTTTGAATTCATTTGGTGTTTAGTTGTATCGTCCTATTGTTATTTAGGACTGCAATTGATCAGTCTCTTGTTAGCATCTTTGCTTATAAAGCTTGTGACTTAAGGCAATATTGAGGCAGTCCGCACAGGGTGCACATATGCCAACAAAAGACTGGTCAATTGCAATCCTAAATAACAATTGGAAGATACAATTAAACTACACCAAGTGAATATAAAATTATGATGTTTCAAAGAAGGAATGAAGTGAAAAGTAAAGAAAAACAATTCATTATCAATGACATCAATGTAAATTAAACCAAGAAATTAAAATCAACCAACAGATTTTAAACTGTTATTCAAAAGATGTGTTCACTAAAATTAAACAGGAATACAGAGTTTGATATTTCACTTTTAATGTGAATTGTAATGGGTTTACCACTACCAATTAAACCGTTCAATGTTTAAAACAACAAATCATTCATCAATTCTTCAAATTATAGTTATAATCATAATCATAAGGCTTTCATTCGTTTTCTATTAGTCCACCTGAAGATTTAAGTGATCATGTTGTCTAGTAAAATAATTAATGGTTCACTAAGAAACCACCTAGTTTCAGGGAAATAATATTAGTGGAAGATTGATTAATTTTAAATTTGTTTTTGATTAATGATAAGTAACAGCACGATTGGACAATCGATGAGAATAAAAAACCACTAAATAATTTATTTGTCTTAGTTTGGAGCCCCCATTTCAGTAAACATTCATGACGTTACACACAAGATTGGGTCCAATGACCTTCAGATTTTACAGCAATCATGATAGTTTTCTTCATATACCAAGTGCAGTTTGACGTACCTAAATTTGGGTTACACTTTATTTGTGTGAGGGTTAGGAATACTACTTGATCAACTAAACTCAAGCAGGTGAGAGGGGGTCCAAACATGTGAAATACTAGTTGAAAGTCAACTGCTTTAACTACTAAACTATCACAGTATGATACCGTTAAAATACTGAGTACAAGTTTAACGGTGCGCATTTTCAATACCAGCCAACTTGCGATAAGAGCAGATAATCACCAAACAGTATCAGTGGAACGTGCCTACGTCAATCGGCAACGAGTGTACATCGCTCAAAGGTATCATATCAAATCGGCATGGTGAGATGAAACTATCAAGAATAATATCGAAGTAGTAGTAGTGTGATAGTAAAAATAATTATAACCCTCACAATTGACCTGATTGAAATTGACCAGTCATGAATTTCCAGCCAGACCAATGATGAAGTTGTAGGTGTAGGACCGGATTAATACTTATTACCATTTAGCTTTTCATAGTTCTATGTTGAATGAAAACTGATAATAAATATTGTGATAAACTAAGTACTTCACTTGTATAAACAAATATTTTAAAAATTAATAAAACGAAGGTTAATTAATTAGTAAAAGCACCATGAAATAACTAAATAATACCTACATCATTAAAAAAATAGAAGGATGGTAATAAATTGCCGGATATCGTTAGAACGGAAGCCAGCAAACAAAAGCCCAATGAATACGAATAAAACAGCTGAAATATTAGTTCATTTCAGAAAAATTAAAAAGAAAAGCATAAAATCGAGAAACGTTAAAATAAAGGGGAAAACGTTTATAATGAAATGTTATTTAAATGATTCAACTAATATTGATTCAACTTCCATTTACAAAAATATACAGTCAACTGGAACTCTTAAAGATATCGATATAAATAAAATAAACAATTATGGGCTTTGTGACCTAGTGATTCCCGTACAATACTCTGATAATTTCAAGGATATGATCATTCTACTTAATCCCTGAACACTCTTTAAGGCAGAAAAAGTATTACAATGGAACAATTCAATAACTCTTAAGGAATAGCAAGAATTAACCTTGAAAATTACGTATTAGTTGATCAGATAATGAATGATCTACAGAACTAATATGTTCCGATCACTTATGACATTTGATCATATAAGGTTTTTTCACAATTTGTATATAAATATGTGATTCCATTAAATGAAAAACATTTTTTTCTGTTTCATAGTTTTGCATTCGATATTAGTTCACTCAGGAATTTCAGAAAATATTCCCTTCTTGAAAGCAACCATCAGTTGAACATACGGGTATTATTGTATCTATCTAGCGGTTGGCCCTCTATTCATTTATACCAACCAAGCAAAATTCGTCACGGTTCGTCATCTATCCTAACTCACAAAAGTTAGAATAGAAGATTGGTGGACATCATTTCACTTTTAATTTCAATAGTTGTCTAGCTAAAGTCAGTTCGTTATGGAAAATACGTAAATAGTAATTAATTTATGTGAACATTTTAAACATTATCGAGAGAGTTAACTTACAATCTCTGAATTTGATCTAACATACTTTTTCATGATAATTTCTTGAAAATTACCCAAAGCTCCATCACAGCATAATGCGAGCGAAACTAGAAAAACTCCTACAATAGGAAAAATAATTTAGCCAATGATTGTAAAAAACATTGTTGAAATTTATGAAAAATTTCATTTCTCTGTTAAACTTTCAATAAACGATAAAATCTTATACGTAGCATAGAATAAATAGTTCATAAAAATAGACCCGACCGTTGCTGCTACTATGACGTGACGTTCGGGCTTGCCTATCGTAATGAACCAGTAGAGCTATACTGGCTGGAGCAATCGTTCCTCAAGGTTCTATCATGCCAGATAGGTCGGCTGAAGAGCTGTAAGACTAGAAGAAGCAAGCCCAAGATCCGAGGGCGAAGTAGTACTACTGACCGTACAGTACTGACTGACTGTATAGAGATGTGACGACAGCAAGGTGTTTCCTTCAGACAAGCAGCATAACAGCGATGCTGCCTTCCCACAAGTAGGGGTGGGATTAGAAGAGATCGACCCTAAAAATGCACACTTCGCCTTATACCACGGACTTCCATCTCCGGCGGTAAGGTTTCAACAAGTACAGAGCTAACACGAAAATTACTCACAAAAACGTCGCGTGTGACCAACCTCAAGCAGTTGTCCCTTGTGCACTGCGGTCACGCTCTCTGGTCATTAAGAACAACTCTAACCTAATTCCCTTTTCAGGTGCCTCAATAAGAACCCTTCCTCGGTGTGGGCAACCTGGAAATGATAACCGCCCTAATACCTTTAAAAGCACTCAAGACCACTGTATTGATAATCAACCTCCCTCTTCAATTCCTATTATTCATACATCAACTTTCAAGTCTAAACTTCCTGTTTAGCGTCCTCCTCAAGTGTCACCATAGCCAACGATTTTAGTGCGCAAAACACTGTCCCAGGTCTACTGAAACCTCGCTTCAAAATACACATTCAAGCCTTCAACATACGCAACCTGTGTCAAATCGGTCAGCAGACTTTCTTGGCTAAAACCCTAGAATCTCGTACCATTGATGTATGCTGTGTCTCCAAAACACACATACAGGATCCTAGTGTGGTCATTCACTTGACCTCACATCGACAAAAAGGGAAAGCCGATGAGATACACCCTCCGTGTATCTGGCGACCCGAAAATATTTAGGTCGGGTAGTTTTATTTAACGAGTGATATAAACCACATTAATATAATCAGTTTAACGGCAAATATTTGATTCCACTTTCAATTTGATAAACAAACACGTATCAATCACTCTGGATGTTCGATGTTACTTCAGTATTTGAAAACCATCTTAAATCTCTCGTTGGCTGGAACAATTATCGACCTACAAATGCTCATATGATTGTAAAGATAAACAAAATTTCAACCTAATTTCGATGGTTTACTACCAAGAGTGAACATAAAACAAACTAAAAACAGTCTGAATAGCGAAAAACATTCAACTTATATCACCTTTCAAGCATGCTTAATATATTACTAAATGTCAGTGTAGCTATCAAAGCTAACACTAATCTAAATAATAATGGAAATACATGAGAAACAGGCTTACCAAACAAAGTAAACTTAGGCTGTATAGATACATCAACCAATGTAAAACAAATTAAACCTAACGTCATCAAAAGCACCGCCAATACTTCATAAATGGAATATCTTCTTCCTAGGTGATAATTACATAAGATATACTTCAAAGTACCTTGTATAAGAACTCCACCTAACAGCACTGGGATCATTTTACAACACTTAAATATCACTTGAGTTGGATAGTTAAGAAAGCCGACTGAAGCATTAGAAAGAGCAATTGAACCCAATGTTAATACAGCTACAATAGCATAGAGATGAATCCATGGGCTAATAAAATAAATGTTTAAACATATGAAATCTTAAAATTAGAACTTTACTTGAATAGTAGATAACCATGAGCACGTAGTTCCAGAAATGATAAAACTGAGTAGATTCCAAATTGATATAGTGTAAGGAATGGACTATAGGATCGTAAATCATTGGCAGAGAATATTGCTTCCTACAATAAAAATATAACCTGAAATATAATACTGTTTTTTGAAATCGGTAAACATTAAGAATTAAGTTATGTAGATGGATTTGAATGACATCGCAAAATTGAACATTTTGGGTAAGCAGCACTACTGAAAAATATTTTGCCAATATTACCTATCTGCCGTAACCAAAGTAGATGGAATAGAGTCACATATTTTACCTTAGTTGAAATATAATCAGCATAATTGCAATTAATTGGCTTTTTTGGTTAATGTATTTAAAGTGTTTTATGTCAACAAACTTTGTAGACCACAGAACGAATCATAGGCCAATTGGACGTAATCTATTCGAAATGCGACAATTCCAAATTAACTTTGAAGACATGATGAAGAGATACTGAGAAGTTTTGCAATTTATTATAAAGAACCTACTAGTTTTTTCTAGACAGATAACTGTAATCAAAAACTAAATTAAGCCGGCGGTGTGAAACTCACTAAAAACCATTAATATGAGATCTACAATTTCAATTAGTCGATAAAGAAAAAAATGGGGTAATCGTAATCTCAGTAACTCCAACGAGACTTAAGTCTCATATCTACTGTAGTACTCTAGACTCAAAGACACCGAGTAATATTTTTCTGCCATGTGCTAATCACCTTTGAATTACCTAGAAACAAGTGTTCCAAGTTCGTTAGCGGAGAATTAATAGTATTTCGAAAACCTTTGTTAAACCCGCTCTTGGATAGACAAGTACTTCTTGCCAATTTGAAAGCAGTTTTCAGAGAGATGCCTAGTCGTAGATGAAAATGCAACACAACGCCCTAAAATTTATGAAACTGTGATTCTATTTTCTATCTGTATATGTTTACATACGCACACATGTGTGTATAAGTGCCTACTTATCGACCAACAACAACTGGATGTTTTCAATATGAATAAACTTCTGATCTAAAACTAACCTAAACCAAACAAATAGCAATGAATGAGTAATGCAATGACCTGTAAAGCTCCGAAACATATATACAAAGTAAAAATCCCAGCAATTGAGACACCCAGTTTCCAATTGGGTGATAGACTTGACATGTTGAACCCGCATATGTATATTTCATTATTTTTTGGCGTTGTGTTACTTTTTATGGAGGCCTGTTCCATCATTTCAATATTATTGGCTTTTAAAGAGCACAGCGTCGAAATAAGAAAGTTGCGAGGAAAAGTGACGTCACAGCGTTGTTGCTCAGACTGAGTAATATTTGTAAAAGCGTCAAGGTCACAATTGTGTTTCTAGTCTTCAGACCTCAATAGCAGTTAGAGAAGAAGTAGTGCAGATATACTATCGACTCATAGTGCTTTGAAGGCCACTTCGACAAGCGTTCAAATACTTTGACGGGATGTTTCAAATTTGAAATACCACTTACGTAATACCACACTTACTGTACCCAAGCTTCTGTTTCATGTCTTATTAAGAGTACTGACTCACTGGAACACACTCAGCCTGTGGTAACAAAATCAGTGAAATCTTTCCAAGCACCCTTACGATGTGAGCCTGAAGCGCTCAAGCTTTTTAGCCCTGTGGTATCGTAGAACGCATTCCGTATCTTTAATTACGATTTGGGTATTCATGTCTTATCTTTTGCTCTTTCCGGAATTAATAATCTTAAAGACCATAGCAAGAAAGTTCAAAACGAGATTTTATAAACTCAGAGTGGGGTGATGTTTCTCATATCGAGTGATCAATGACTGGAACTCCTGCAGATTCAGTGGGTTTATCAACAGTTATTTACATTTACAGCAATCCACAATGACTCTCTATAATTTACGTGTTCTCCTTCAATTAGAATACTAACCAGTTATATTCTGTTGCATGCGTTCCCTAGACCGGAAGAAAATTAGGAAAGTACAGCACCATTTTACAAGACCTCACTCCAGACCTACCGTATAAGGATAGATATGCAGCATGGAAGCTAGATCCCTTATGGTTACGACGAATTAAATCCAACCTTACTTCACTTTATAAGATCCTATTTAATAAAACCGCAGTAAATTTTGATACATTAACATTCGCCTAAGATAGTAATTATAACCTTCGTAATCATTATTTTTATCAAATATATCGAAAAAATCAAGTAAATTAAGCCAAATTTCCTTGTAACAAGCTGTGGTACTTCACCGGTGAACGTCCGGTCAAGTGAAACGCTTATTCAATTTAGATCTCCTCCAAGCTGCTTTTTGTTCCGATTCGAAGTTTTCCACATGCTTTATGGAGCTTATCAAAAACAAGCTTCATTTAACGATGGGCCATCTAACATCTGGGTTTGTGAATAAATATCCGATTGGCGCCGAGTGGCCATTGTACAAACCGCGAATGTTCAGCCCCCGTATAGCTCCTGTAATTTCACATTTTACATGTCAGTCTCAACACTATACTTCATCCGTTTTCTCTTTTTTATTTGCTTCGTATTCCCTTTTTTAACTATTAAATTACTATGTTTCTTGAGTTCTCTTTTGATATCTACAACTAATAATGGTGTTGCACACGTTGAGCCTTTGAAATACCTTGGATCATGACCCAACAGAACTTAATGCAAATAGAGACTACGCAGGTGAAAAATCAGAGATACTCGGAAACTGTCTATGAGAAACACTATAAACCATAACACTGGTTTACTCGGAGTAGAACAGATTATTTTCTCATATAATTACGAAAAGTAAATCCTTTCAGAAACATCTTGGTGTACACAGTGTATTTTTTGGAATATGATGACAAATTCAAAGCGTATATGATCATATACAAACATTTATTTATCTATTTCGACTATATGACAAAACCGCAATCTTGAACCTTCAAAATTTATATAATCACTTTTTATGGATGATTATGCTTCAAATTTTATGTATTATTGCCATAATTAACATTTTCTGGAACTACCTGTTCGGTTAGTGAAGAGATAACTCATCAAACTCATGAGTGCTGCCCAAATATGACGGATCATGAGTAGCTCAGTATATCTTAAATTAGTGTGAGTTACTTCTAGTTGATATTCAACTGCTTTAAAGGTATTTTTTGTTGTCATTACTAGCGTTCAAACATTGTGTTTTTCTATTTACCTATCGGCTTAAAAATTTTGCTATTCTAAACTCTTCTTTAAGATTCTTTGATGTATTATATGTCCTTATCATTTCCAAACCACATATCATTTGACCGGTATTTTATAAGATATATAACATATATACCTAATGCCACTACAACTTCATAGCAGTGTGATAAACTAGATGTCCAACCTTTACCGCAAAAGCTTTAGCTGTCAGATTTTCTTGTAATATGGAACTAATTGTGACAGTGTATTCCAACAAGGTGTGCAATATTGACCTTAGATTAAGGCAATTTTCATACATACCACATACGTGAGAGAGCTTAATATCACAAAAGCAGGAAGGGTGGTATTACTGACTGTCGGGGAGGTAATTTCTGTTCGCCCATGTCTGTTGTAAGATCCAAACTACGGTTTGGAGTGAAGGACAGCTGTCTGGATGAGTTAGATACGCGCCCTCGCCCGATTGAAACCAAAACAAAGTAATTGGGTAAGATAACGCTTCTATAATTTATCATAAATTTAAGTGTACATTATTACCTAAACAAATATAACCACTCAGCTATCCAACCAATAATTGTTCAATTGATCAAATCTAAACTACAATAAATAAGAAAGTTCATAAAGGATGCAAGGAAATTACCAATCACCACAAATAAATGTTATTCTATCCTGTCTGGATAGATCACGTACAGATTCGTTCAAAAGGTAATAATTGGTCGCTCTATAACACAGAGTGTTTTCAATTCTGGAAGAGTGCTTCAATTCACAACCAAAATGCACAATTCCAGTCAACGCAGGTCAAGCAATCAAAAGCAGGAACAAACCAAAATGGCTGCCGCCCAGACTTAGTATAACGTAAGACAACATAAGTGCAGTTCGGGAAGAAACATGGGGAATTAGTGAAGGTGTAGTAAAAACGAAAACTATAATAAAATACAAATATTAACAATTCAAATGTAGCCAAAAGGTTAACAATGTACGAATAAGAGGACCAATAGGAACAAAGTGCAAGTATAAAAATGTAGGGATTTTCACAAACACACAAAGCATTCAAAATGGATCTTACATCTGTAGAGCAGAAAATTCCGTTAAATTACGGCTCCTTATTGCCATGTAGATTGTCACGAAACAATGATACGGATTCTAATTTCTTATGCCAAATACCTCCTTAACTTGTTTATTACCTTGAAAATGTATCTCCTGTTCCCATAACCGACATACTCCGTAACATATCAACCTAGTTGAATAACTTATTAAATTAAAGCCCGTAGCATTCGTAAAATTTGATCCTGTCTGTAGACTGTCATGCCCCATGTAACATATTATCATGTGAGAATATATATTTTGTTATTACTATTATTAAGTGGTACCACTCTCATCATACGATATTTTTCGGAGGTTCCACCTTCACTGAAAAAAGAACTGTAAAGAATAACACAGGTCCACCAACCTACTAACCTTATTACTGAAGACTGTATACTCTGGTTTTGACAATGCTTTTGTCTATAACAGCGCTATAAGACAAAGATACCAAACACATTCAAATCAGAAATCGGCGATGAAGGAGTTCGAGGATACTTCTGAAGAAACTGTCGATATGTTGAGGTGCGTTTGACCTGAGCTAATAGGTAATTCCTCGGGACAGGCAGCATGGCGTACCCACTCGTGGTCTAGTGTGAATGTGTGACCGATCGCCTTCTGCTAGGGTTTGTCTAGTAAAACTAATGCGGTCAGCATCAATGTTGAAGACTAACGGAATAGCGTAGTATGATAGCTCATTCACCGGTCTTTAGTGATGGTTGAAGGGCAACCAAAGTCTACCACTCATCATTTGGTGAAGGTGTAGACCAGCGTACCAGCCGTGTCGTCCTTGATAAGTGTGAAATTATAGTCTACTTCGATATTAGTACTGCTCTAATAATAGACAATCCTAAAATCGCAGATTTGTCGTGACTTTATTGCCTAATCTATAAGATCTTACGTGCAAGTCATATCATTGTTTACACCAACTCATAACGTCCTAACAGTCACCAATATATGATGGAGAACAAATCCAGGCTAGCGATACGAGAATATATTTAATATGAATAAAAGATTATGTTACAACACTTAAGAGTGACCACACCTGCAATGCGAGGCCATGCGGTCCGTCGTTGGGTGGCTCGAAAACACCCAGATGAGAAAACTTGTGCAAAGTATCAAAGACATTTGGTCTATAATGTTTCGGCATGATTGAACGATCCCTACCAGCAGGTGTGTCACAAACCAAAGTCTCCTTGCTTGCTTCCAACTGGTTGTTCCGTAGTTTCAGAGCTGTTGAAGACAACTCGTGCAAAATGTCAGTCTTTACTTTTTAAAGCCGAGTGAGTGATGATAGAAGTTTTATGATTGACGTTTGAAGCCGTAGGATTTCGGTTATACGCTGTAACCATGCGTAGAGAATGGTAACGGTCTGAATTGTTTTTCGTTTTAGATCGCCTATAATTTGCTGTTGGATACCAACTAATTCTGTTTTCTTGAGGGACCATGTACTGAAAGTAGGTGCTCGGTAGCTGTACAGTGGCAGAATAATTATTGAACTTTTGATGCGCTTGAATTTATTTTGGACCAACCCTAGCTATTCAGCCGCTAGACGAGGCGGTTTCGAAAATACAGATGGTCCTGAAGTCGTGATGTGTTATGTAATGTTTATGGGTACATATAGGAGTTCCGGTCATGGTTTGTTTGCTGATGATAATTAATGCTATGTGGTGGATCTAGCTACAAACTCGAACTCATCGTCATACAGCCCAACTTCGTGGTCCCAAAGAGATTTCCCATTTGGATAGCCGTCCTGATACTCCACTTTTGTGCGAAGAAGCGGCAAATTAGTTGGGTTTAAAGGTAAACAAGACTTGATAGACATAGCGACTGTAACTGGTACTACTTTTCACAAACGTTTGGAAGTAACTTTCGAGATATTTTTGGGTGGTAGTTGATCTATGCAGATTAGTTGAGCTTATATAGTCATGAGGTTACCGATCGATGACGCGAAGGCACTAAAAGAACAACAGTTAGGACGGTAGAAGCATTTAAAAGATATTAATTTACAGAGGTTGCGAAACGTTTGAGTGGGAGTTTTGGTTAGATATGGTATTCCAGTGGTACTTGGGTTTCGAAACGTCGTTTGAGTGATAAGAAACATCCCTTTCTTGTGCACAAGCAGCTCAGTTGGATAATAATGGGTTCCGATGAAACAAAT